CCATCAGAGGGAACTAGAATTGAGCTATATTCCCCAGATCTGGAACTCAGTGATTCAGTCATAACTCCTGAGCTTCTGCTGCTCCCTCAAAGCTCTATTGTTCTGAGGTTCTAGGAATGAGCTGCCTTATTGCAAGCATTTTCATCAAAGATCACAGAGGCTATAAGGTTCAGCTAAAAGTCCCAAGTTTTTGGCTTAACTTCCTTCCTCAGTTTCTTCCAGGTGTTCTCTAAGATTGGGGTCACAGTATCCCCGTATTGCAGGGCAGAGGTTTGTTTTCCAGGCCTCTGGTACCTGGGCCACATGACTTCTGACTTGGACTGCTGTTTAGAGTCCTTTTCTACCATGTTTCACCTCCTGGAGGGGACCTTCTCATGCTAAGAGTTACCTGAATCACATGTGAATTTGCTACACGTGAATCTACATTGAGCTTGGGACCACAAGCTGCTCCACCCAGGGTCACTCAGTGCAGCCTGGCCAATTTGACCTGGACTTTACTTAACACTGGTAATTTTCTTAGAAACACAGAGACCTAAATGGAAATATAATCTCTCTTAAAGCAGTGATCATATGTGTAAGTAAATGCTCAATAAATATTTGTTGAATAAATGAAAACAAAGTTAAAACAAGAACTGGTGCCAGCACTCACGTAGCACAAATCCTTATACACTGGTCACTCAGTAACTAGCTGCTGATTTTTATTTGTTTGAATTGAATTGAACTACAATATATCTGGGGAGATAAGATTTATAGATACGAAACAATTAAAGAGCAATAAAAGACAGCATTCCTCAGTGTCTCTGTATCGTATCGACTGCCCTGTGGGTAACGGAGACAACCCTAGGAATCAGAGTTGTCAGCAAAAAATGTATGGAAGATGAAGGACTTAAGATGGACTTTGGGCTGTTAATGCATTTTATGTTTATCTAAATGACTTTCTCAAATAATTCTATAGCAGATATAACCCTCATTTTACCCACACATACAACGCCCTCCCCCCCCCCCGCCACACACAACATTCAAGAGGGTTGAGAGATCATTTAAAGGGAATTCATATATAAGAGGATAATTTTGTTCAGATTTGGCAAATATTGATTGCCTACTAAGTGCCATGCTTTATAGTCAAGAATTAGACATGGTGTCCCTTTTGGGGTCCCACATATGTGTGTCTGGGCTATAAGTAAGAAATTTAAGAACAATGCAGCAAATTCTAAAAAGGAATATATAATAGGTGCTATAGAAACCCAATGAATGAGTGTTATAATCAGCCTTTCTGGCCCTGGCAGGGATGGGACGACATTTGTAAGAAAATATTGTGGGATCTGAGTCTTGAAAGATGCCCTTTAGTTCCCTGTTCTGGGGAGAAAATATCAGAGAGGAAATTGCAGGAGCGATGACCTGCACTGGAGAAGAATAGGGCAATGCTTTTTCAACACACATCGATGCTGGAGAGGAAGGTGAAGAGTCGGCTGTGATGTGCCTCCAGCACCTTGCCAACGTGGCTAAAGAGGGGCCTCTGGACTTGGTGCTGACTTCTACTTCTAGACTCTGCATTCGGGAGGCCTTTTTCTCCACATTTCTTCTTCTCTCCACCTTAGCATCCAGACCTGCGCTGTCTCTACTTGGTTCTTACTATCTCGACCTACTCAGGCGCAGGCAGTAGCTTCAGCAGAGGCCAAAAGTAGGGCTGTGGTCCCTGTCCGCTCTCCACAAAGATGCCGGTGACTCAGGCCATCTGCAGGAATCTGTCTCTGTAGTTGGAGTCTGCATTTGTTTTCATGGGGAAAATCTAAAAGGATGCCCATGATCCTCTCACAGAGTCAGAACAACTGGTTTTGCACATTCCTAATGATGTCCAGAAAAGTTCAAAGACTTTACTGCATGGGAGGGACAGCACAGAATAAGGTTCTTCCACCATGGTGTTTATCCTGGCTCAACGAGCACTTATTTTTAAAGATGGCAAAGGATCAAAGCCAACCATGTCAGATATAACTCATAGTCTATGGAGTTTCGTATGTGATTTTTTTCCTCCAAAATGTTAGATAATTCCCATTTCCATTTTAGCTGCACAATGGTTTTAAAATTCTTTCTTTTAGAAGTCAGAGTGGCCTGACAGAAAACATCTCCAAATTCACTAAACCATGGAGAGAATCATCCTTCTTTCTGGCCCCATGACAATGCACTTCAAGAATTCCAGGTGTGTGTTTCTATTCTGGGACTGGGCTCCAGTTTAGAGATTTGCACGGTCCATTAAATAATCTCTGTGTCCTGCTAAGCTTTCCTGCTATGAGCCTAGAGCCGTCCTGCCAAGCTTTCTTGCGATGAGCCTAGAGCCCTCCACATAAGCATGAAAATGATGGAATTCCCTGTCAGGAAAAATAGAGCTTAGACTAAGCTCAACAGGGTTTTATCCTTCGACAGCATTTTAAGGGAAACTTAGGGACCAGGCTCGGATTTCTGCTTAACTCACTTCTGCAGGCCAGACTGTGCCATGTGGTTGATGAAGCCTGTCCAAGCGCTGTCTGAGTTTACAAAATGGCACTTGTCTATCATGAATTTTAGATTAACTTTAGTGATTATTTATCTTTCCTAAAATACTTATTTTTAACTTTATATCTTCCAAATTTTAGATGGCACAGCCAGATTTCTAGTCTCACTTGATTACTTACCTAGTGCTTCTCAAACTTTAGTGCATATGAATTTTGAGGATTTTGTTAAAGAGCAACTTATGATTCAGGAGATTGGGTAGGCCTGAGATTCTGCATCTCTAACAAGTTCTCAGGTGACAACAACACCAGAGTTCTGTGGACTGCATTGGGAGCAGCACAACTATGTTGAGTTCTTTCTATGGGCCAGGCATTGGGAGAAGTGATAAGGGCACAGCAGGAAGAGGGCAGAGGTGTCCTTTACAGTCTTACAACCAGTGTACAATCCTACTTAGTTAATTAGTGAAACCTGATTTTATCCTTGATTGAGAGTCACAAGTGACCTAAAGTTGGACTCTCTCATCTAATTTTATCTACAGATTATTGGTTTATTTATAAGCAGAGTCCTCTAATTTTCCAGGAAATATAAAAAATCGTTAACTCTGATTTCCCAAGATTTGTTCCTCCTTTGGGGTAAGTAAAACACACAATGATTTATCCCTAGAGGTGAGTGCTTCCCAGTCTTTTCATCTCAGGACATGATAGAAAAATACAATGTTGGTGTGTCACCCAAGGAGAAGCTGCTTGCCTCTGGGTGGCTGCTGGCCCTTGCAAAGCACCTGGCCTTGGGCTGCCCAAAGGAGAGCAAAACCTTGGCATGGTGGTGACCCGCGCACTCAGGCCCCTGTTTGGCAAGCTTTTATTTGCTACAATTTCTGAGCTTCAGAAAATCATATTTAAAAATATAAATGCCACTGGAACAGTAACACCAAAGTCACTATCCACTAAGAGTCTAGAAGGGATTCACTGAGAGTTAACCGAAGTAAAGGAGAGATCTGGCTGAGACCTAGATGATGCCAAAGAAAAAGAGGAAAGGCAGAGGTCAGGGCAAGGCAGGAGTAAAGGGATGGCGGAAAGGCATCAAAGGTGGGTTCATGCCCTGACTGATTTGGCTCAGTGGATAGAGCGCTGGCCTGCGGACTGAAGGGTCCCAGGTTCAATTCCGGTCAGGGTGTGTACCTTGGTTGTGGGCATATCCCCAGTAGGGAGTGTGCAGGAGGCAGCTGATCAATGTTTCTAACTCTCTCCCTCTCCCTTCCTCTCTGTAAAAAAAAAATCAATAAAATAAATTTTTAAAAAAGGTGGGGTCACCTTCTTCAAATTTTGCTGAAGGTCTGCCAGTTTCAGCATTGATCACATTTGCTGCCAGTATCCCCCCTTCTCCCTGCACATATTGTGAATTTACGTAAAGACCAAATAATAGCCCTGGCCTGTGGCTCAATTGGTTGGAGCATCATCCTGTAAACTGAAAAGTTGAGGTTTGGATTCCTGGTTAGGGCACATAAACAGGTTGTGGTTTTGATACCGGTCAGGGGGCACATGGGAAACAACTGACTCTCACTCTCTCTCTCTCTTTCTCTCTCTAGAATCAATAAAAACATATCCTTGGATGAGAATTTAAAAAAATAGAAGATCAAGCAATAAAAATTAAAGTGGTAAGAAACATGGGCAGGTATCTGTCTTTGCATAGAATTTTATTTTTTCTCAGTGAGTTGAAAGGCAATGACTTTTTAAAAAATATGTTTTATTGGGAGAGGGATAGAGAGATAGAAACATCAATTGGCTGCCTCCTGCATGCCCCCTACTGTGGATCAAGTCTGCAACCCATGTGGGAGGCAACCAATCAATGTGTCTTTCTCACATTGATGTTTCTCTCTGTCTCTCCCTCCCCCCCCCCTAAAAAAAAATCAGTGGAAAAAAATATCCTCAGGTGAGAATTACCAACAACAAAACAAAAACAAACAACAACAAGAAATAAACCCCAAACAAAACAAAACAAAACAAAACAAAAATTCTGTGAAATGTTTCTATAATAAGAAATTAGTATCAAAGCTTATGTTAAAAAAAATAATCCCTTCCTACGACATGTGTTTTATTCTCTTCAGACAAGAGTCAGCAAATATTTTCTATAAAGGGCCAGACAGTAAATATTTTAAGCTCTGTGGTCCATACACTATCTGTAGCAACTACCCAACTGCTGTAGCATTCACAGATAGTGTTTAAACAAAGAGGGATGGATGTGATCCAATAAGCCAAACCTTACTAACGTCATTTACACACAATCAGGAGGTAGGCTGGATTTGGCTCATGGGCTGTAGTCTGTGACTGTTATGGACAAAAAAAAAATATCAATTTACCAAAAATAAATGTTGGATGTGAAAAATAACAGATCGTATCTACTTGCAGGGCAAGATGGACAGTCACAGAGGTTTGCAGACAGATCCTTCCAGAACACCAGAGGCTGAACACAAATGCCACACAAGGTTTTTGGAAAGTGATAGCAACCCTGGCAAATTGCCCCAGAGTAGAAGGTAAGTAGGAAAATTGAGACTTAGTTAAGGCGAATGTTCTATGAGATGATCCTTCTAGGTCAGCTTGTTGCATAGATTTGAAACTCTGCTATTTTGCATAAGTTTTTATTTTTTATTTTTTGGTCAGAAGTTTCTTTTACCAGCTCATAGTTATAGTCACACATGAGATGACACAGAGAAGCAGTAGTCTGTAGAATTACCACACAGTTGGTATAGGTTGTATTTTCATGTTTTATTAAAATGCCTCTTTGACCACATACCAATTTATCTCCGTCTTTGAGCCTAGGAGACTATGCTAATTTGGATGTCTGTGGTTTACGAAGTGGGGCTATCTAGCAGTTTAAATTGTACTCTCTGAGTTTCTCAAAAGAGGCCAGATATAGACTTTAAATATTATGATCTCAAAATACAACAGACAGATAGTGAACTTTTTAGGCCTGCAAAATATACATGCACATTTATTGCACATACCATTCAAATATGTACATATTTAGAAGTTGAATTTTTCTTCTTGTGTGGCCCTACCTACATTAACTATTAAACTGTATTTTAAACGTAAATTAAAGGTATCTAAATACAAGCGCTTTTATGTTAATTGCACAAGTAACAATTTACTTCACTCAATTACGTTTCCATTTTTGTTTTGTTTTTATAGGAAGTGAAATCCCTGCCACCAGCTAGAACAGTAGGTAAGACTGGGATTTCTTGTTTGTAATAAGTGTGTTGTTCACATTATGTCTTCTAACATTTATTCTAAATCAACCCTTTAATCTAGGAGTCTTTGATCCTAGTTCCTTTCTAGAGTCTTCAATACCAGAACTTCCCCTGAGTTATTCCTGTGTAAATCGATATCATGGATGTTAGGAGGCAATAAATGAACAATGCCACATCGAGTATTTATAACAACAGGGATTATTAACTTAATTACCTTATCCTTTTGAAATACCTGAAGAATTATGACCTCGGGGACACCAGCAGCAGCCACCTAATCTATTTCTTAAGTTATAGCCGCAAAGTCTCCACCAGGCATCCCTGTGTGGTCTGGCTTATTGCAGCCACGATTGGGCATTAGCAGAGTGTCCTGTCATGGAATTCCAAAGGCAGAGTGCTCATTTCAAGAGTTTTGTATTTCCTTAAAAAGTAAAATTTCAAAATTAAATTTTGGACCAGAGTGGGAGTGGCAACTTTTAATTTTGTCAAGTGAGAACAATAAACAAAAACCTCCCATTTATCCTATCCATAACTTCAAAAAGGGAAGCACACTTGTAACACCAAAATAGTAAGTAGGAAATAATCTCAAACTGAAGACAGATCTTTATGAAAAAACTCACTATATTGTTTTTATTTCATTTTTTCCCATTTCAATGCTGATTGGAGGTGGGGGGCAAATGCATAAATGGTAAAGAAGATGGAGGGAATTAGGAAATCTTAACATTTTAAATGGAATTAGAAGAGTTCTTTTCTATGTTTAGATGAAATCATTTGGAACTATTCTTTTATAGTAAGTAAAGTTAAAAAGTGAAGGGGTTAAGAGCTACAAAGTTCTCCCATCAAGCACTGTAATTCTAGGGAACATGTTCCTTCAACAGGACATCATTCCTGGAATTACAATGTGGGGAAATTCATCTCAACATTTTCTAAATGTTTCAGGTGGTCAAATGAAAGCCATTATTCAAGAGAGCTATTAATATGTTATTTTAATTGGTAGTGATAAGAATAACCGTATACAATCATTAAAGAATGGCACTCCTTCTATATAAAGCCATATTTCCTGGTAAATCTATTTTAGAAACATTTTGGATGGAAAATTATCATACCACACACAACAAAAAAAAATTGCAGAAGATGTTTTCAGCTCCTTTCCTATCCAATTCTCATTTCCTGTCCATTGCCCTCAGGGGTATAAGCCCAGCAAAATTTCAAAAGCTCTTGGAAAAACAGAAGCTGTGTGTGTGTGTGTGTGTGTGTGTGTGTGTGTGTGTGTGTGTTGGGAAGTAGAAGGACAATAAAATCAAAACAGATGAAAACTGTCCCTTTATTTTGTAATTTGCCTGTTTCTTCCAAAGGCTCAGACACATACATGCGCTGGCTTTGAGAATTTCCCTGTGATAGGCCTGATTGATAATGTGTTACGAGGAGGGAATCCAGTGGGAGCACTCCCTGCAGGACCATAAATGGCTTGGGAGACACCAAAGCTATCTTATCATCAGGGTTATCAATAAAGCTGCCATAAATATCAACACTCAATCCATTACATAGTAAAAAGCATGGAGGACACTAACTGGGACCTGGACTGGGTATATTCCAATGATTCAATATCCTTTGGGGTTGGAGGGTCAGGCTGGGATAGCGCTACCAATTGGAACTGGAGAGTAGAAATGGGTGGGAGCAGCTGTGCCGAGAACTATGAGTCAGCATATGTTCAGATACAGCAGCGAGCATTGCGATGTGGACAGGCTCACGCCAAGAGAGAAGGGATCATTAAAAAGTGAAATCCTTGTATCGTGAGATTCTACAGCAATACAGGAAATCAGCATTAGGATCTGTGGTTTCCTGCAGATGAGGAATCTAAAAGAACATAAAAAAGAAGCCACATGTTTCCACTCCCCATGGGGATGTTACCCAAAGACTTCTCACTCTGTGTTAGGGACAAACATCTGTGGGATAAAACGGCAGGTAAGAGAACAGTAGTTCTAGAAGATAGGAATAGGGTGTGTGTAAAATATTCGTGTATAAAATGTTCACTGGGAACATTGAAGATAACCTGTCAGGAGGTGTAAGGCTGGGTACAAGTAAATGAAAAAAGAATAATGAGAATCACGGCTCAGATTTATGGAGGAACGGTTTCGTTCAGGGCACCATGAGAAGAGAACTATTCAGTTACTAAATCCATACTTCTGAAAGAGGACGGGTGGATTAATAAGAAAATCAGTTATCAGTTGCTGCCTGTTGTTACCACCACTGGTAAATTTACTGTCTTCATTATGTATTCCAGGTGACTAGATTGTCCTTTGGCTATTAGAAAGAACAAAGTCAAAATACTGAAAAAGGATAAATAACACACAGACAGATATTTTGAAATGACCCCGATTTGGAAAGTCCTAATACGTTGCCAAATTTGCAACATTGCCCTTGCCACAGATTGACTCCTCTGAGAACAAAGCAATTGCTGACTTCAAAGATCTCCAAGGAAGTTCAGTGGATGGAAAGAATTTGGCCGGCAACTGGATGATTCAAATCTAGAGTTTTCCTTTCTATCACTGGTGTGACAATGAGTGTATGTATGCAAAGCACATGACTATTTCTACAAAATTTAACTAACTACTGGAAGAATTTCCCCAAGTAAAAATTCACTGGAGAATGGTAATGCTGCCTCTGGCTTGTTCCATACTTAGGCTACTCCTCCTAGGTGATGTGCATTATGGACACCAGTAGTTCCCAGACCTAGCTGGGCCTTGGAACCACACGGAGAGCCTTAGGAGCCTATATTCTGGAGTCCTACCACAGTCCTACTTGACAGGCTCTTGGGAGGGTGGAGCTGGCATATATATATTTATATAATGATGCCAACACCACTTTGGATATACTCTTCCTTTTAATTCAGGTTGTCAGTGAATCTTGTTAACCACTCATCTAACCTACTCAACTGCCACTCAGGATAGACCCTCAAGGGCTTTAACTTTAATGGACTGACCTCTCCACACTGCCACAAGAGGCCCTGCTTTGCATTCTTGCTTTTTCAAGAACATGTTCCATCCGGAAATCTTAAGAGAACCTGGCCAACTTGGCTTTGAAACTGTCTGGCTGATGGGACTGAAACCCCCCAAATGGCCTTACTATCTGCTCTCAGCAAGATGCCAACATTGGTTCCAAACAAGCAATTCTAGAAATGTTCCCAAATGCCACATGAGATGTTATAAATAAGCTCTTGGTTCCACTGAGTGTTCCTCTTTTAGTTTTCTGTGTTCACACAGTTCCTTGGTTTTAGAACTCTTCCCACTCTAACCCCAGCTTATTAGAGCTCTCCATTGGACAGGGTTGCCTGCAGGAGACAAGGGCACCGAGCTGCCAGCTGAAAGTCCTAAGACCGTGGCTGCTTGAATTTTCAGGCCACTAGGTCTCACTGGAGGACAGCCCACTTTAATTACTGATTTTCCTTTCTTGAAAATTCTTTTGGCAAATCAACTTTCACCAGCATCTCATTTGGTGTGATTGTGAATTTGGTAAAATAAAGCAGGGCGTTTTCAAGATCTTAGCATTCATTCATTCCCTGGAGAGACAGGGAAATGTGCACTTGTTCTCATCCCTGGGGAAATGGCCCCTCACGAGTAAAAGATGCTGTCCTCTTGGCCAGGGCAGCTTCGGAGACACCGCCTATCCACTTCCTATTCCAACCTTCTCTTTCCATTGGGTTTCAGTGGTTATGGAGGCTGGGAAGAATGAACACCTTATTGCTTTTTTTCATTGATTAACTCACCTCAACATTTATTTCTCATTGCTATGTGACAAGCACTTTGAGGTATATGAGGTGAACCATGGAGAGAATAAATTATATATAATTTCTAATACAAAGTAGAAAGTGATTGGTAGCATGAAAGAAACATACAAAAATTGTCATGTGAGCTTTGTGTCAGAACTTATATCTTATATAATGGAAGAGAAGGTTGTGCGGGGACATTCTCTCTCTTTCCTTCCCGATCTCCAGTCCACATCCCTACAGCATGTGGTATAACATAACTCCAGAGCTTTCTGAGCAAGGAATTCCTGCTTGCACTGCAGAGATGCAGATTCATAGTACTGGACTAAGTCCCTTGTATCATCCCCAGGTACATATGCAAAATTCTCCCTGGCATTAGGCTAGTATCTCCCGAATGAGACAGTCAACTCTTTACCCTTACTTAGACTGATTTTATGTCTCCCACAACCCTAATCCAAAAGAAGATCAGAAAGAAAGTAAGAGTTTAGTACCTAAAAGCCCCCACTTCATGGCCTTTAATTCTTACTGCCATGCATTTCACAGATGTGGAGACATGCTGAAGAAAAGATCAAGTGGTTAAGTAGAAATCGAAGGTACCAGTACTTGGTGGAACCTGGCTCCAAACTCAGATCCCCTGACTCCAAGGCCAGTGCTGTCTCCATGTTGTCTCACAGGGCACGTAGTAGTTACTCAATCAGTCACTGTTGAATGGATTGAATCAGAGACAAAGTAGTGCTTCTAGAGAACTGGAGAAGTCCCCAACTCTCATAGGAGATGCATCAAGTCCTCTTTGAAATTCTCTTAGTTTTTGCCATGAACACCAGTAAAGAAAGCTGTACTTCTCTGGCACCTTCCTCAAGCAGGTGCTAAGAGCTCAGCATAGAGGTGCACAGGCAACCTGACACAGCTAGATGAAGTCTGCAGCCAGTCCTGCCATCACATCTTTTCCCTTCTCAATTCCTACATGTTTTTTAATCCTCACCTGAAGATATTTTTTTCCATCGATTTTTCTTTAGAGAGAGTGAAAAGGAACTAGGAATGGGAGAAAGAAAGAGAGAAAGAGAGAGAAGGAGAGAGAGAAACACTGATGTGAGAGACACATTGTTTGGTTGCCTCCTGCACGTGCCCCAACTGGTACAGGGGAGTGAACAGGTGATCCTTTGGTCCACTGGCCACTGCTCTAACCACTTAGCACACTGGCCAGGGCCTCAATTCCTAATTCTAACAATGGTTGAGTACAGGTGCAGTGTGCTATTGACAAAAGATCTTTTTCTGGTCCTACCCTTTGAAACAGATAGACAGAGAGAGGGAAAAGCCTCCTGATAAGATTCCACTGATTTTTTCTTAAAGTTGCTATTATTTGTAACTAGAGGCCCAGTGCAAGAAATTTGTGCACAGGTAGGGTCCCTAGCGGCTGCTGGCTGCCAGCTGGGGTTTTCCTTTGTTTCATGCTTCCCCCTGGTGGTCAGCACATGTCATAGTGAGTGATCGAACTCCTGGTTGGTTGAACTCCCGAGGGGACAATTTGCATATTAGGCTTTTATATATACAGATGGTTGTGTAAACAGAGCTCACACCCTGTCTGAACAGGTTATACCAGTGGTCGGCAAACTGCAGCTCGTGAGCCTCATGTGGCTCTTTGGCCCCTTGAGTGTGGCTCTTCCACAAAATACCATGTGCGGGTGCGCACGTACAGTGAGATTGAAACTTTGTGGCCCATGCGCAGAAGTCGGTATTTTGTGGAAGAGCCACACTCAAGGGGCCAAAGAGCTGCATGTGGCTCGCGAGCTGCAGTTTGCCGACCACTGGGTTATACCATCCAGAAAGGGCACAACTCTTAATGAGTGATTAAGGTAGCTGAAAGTTTGCACCTGTAGCCATGGTAGAGTTTTCTGCAGTACATACCTTAATGTAGTTTTCCTTCAAGGTATTAAAAATCGCATTTATCTTTCACTTGATGTAACTTCTGTTAGTTACAGGAAGTTTTCATAATAGTCTATAAATCAACTGCAGAAGAATGTGAAGTGAATGTTAGATGACTAAGTTGACTAATGTATACATGGAAAGTTGTGATCTGAGGTATTCAGATGAAAACTCTTTAATTTAAATTCTTGGTCTCATTAAATATTTTCTGTGTTATGACACAAAAATGTTTATAAGCTTTACTTTCCCTTCATAATTCAAAGATTTTATGTTGATTACACGGACTTTTGGGTTTCTTCTTCAGTGCGATGATTCACTGGTCCCCTGTCTTTTCACTCTACAGCAGCTGGGTTTCCCACTCACAGCCTGCCATATATTCTCAGCAACAAGAATTCGCCTGAAGAAATTTGGGGCTGAGACAGTGGCTCCCTGACTTGTTTGGGTCTACAGGGAGATGGCCATGACCAAACAAAACAATAAGCAAAAGGAAAAGCTACCAGGTCCTCCTGTGTTTGGACAGCGCAGATGTTATTTACAGCCTTGTTTATGAAGTATTTTCTTGACCCTGCTGGCTAGGATCCACACACTTTGTCATTTTAGAGTACACACGTCCTGTCACATGGTGACAATGTGCCCTGAACAAGTAAACAGGCTGAAGGACTATTATATTATAAGGGTAGAGAAATCTAACAACACTGTGCTCCCCTACTCCACTTCCAAAAACGATGAAGGAAAGCACAGAGGAAGAGAACTGATAACTGTTTTATTTTTAGATTAACTGTAACCAATGCAGCCATATTGAAATTCCTACTGTGTTCAAGGTGCTATGAATAAAGAAGTTGGAAAGTTTATGAGTCCAACTGTCAAGCTCCCAGTCTAGTGAAAGGCAGATATTAATAAATACGGTGAACCACATAAACCTGAAGGTGCACTTGGGAGGGGTATTAATTCTAGATTATTTAGAATACAGAAAAAGTAGGACATCTCATACCCCCAAATGAAAAAAAAGGATTAACTAGATTAAAGCCTGTCCTTACAATGGAGGGCTTCGCTGCCTTGTTTATATCTATCATTATCAGATGCCTCCTCAGCCAACCCTCCCCAGCTCTTGTCCCTGATGGTGACCCACATTCTGTAGTATGATTCAGTCTCCCACTGTTCTGATCACTTCAGATGGGGGCAGAGAATGGACTGACGCTGCCATAAGCCAAGGAATGCAAGGATTTCGGGAAACCACCAGAAGCTGGAGGGAAGCACGGGACAGTTTCTTCCTCAAAGACACTGGAAGAAACCAAAAATTCTAACACTTGATTTTAGACTTGTGGCCTCCTGAACTGTGAGAGAATAACTTTTGGTTGTTTGAAGTCACCATGTTTGTGGTAACATTTTTGCAGCAGCCCTCAGAAACTAATATAGCCCTCTTTCCTCTTGTTATATATGCAGCAAAAATCCCAACACTGACTAAACCCAGTTCTCATTTTCTCGGTGCCTGCACCTAATTGGATTTAGGTGAGAGAAAATTCATGGATGTGCTAACTGGTCTCACTTTACAGTTTTGACCACAGATCTTATTGTCTTGTGACATTTCCTGGCAATTCAATTAAAATTTATAGTGTATTCCTTCTATTTTCTGGGTCAAGTATTTCATACTTTCTTTTCTCTTCCAAGCTGGTGACTATGCTTTT